ATATCCTAAATTTATTTTTTATTTTTTTTCAAACCATCTTTTTAATTTCCCCCCCCCCCCCGCCCACTGAATTCGGAGAAGGAAGGTCGAGAGAAACGCTTCTTGTTCAGTTTGCAAAATGTGTTTTTTCAAAAGTTGGGGATAATTTTTTTACATGCCAGAAGTTGAGGCCACTTGAGGAGCAAATGGACATTTTGTCTTCAGCGTCAGTTGCAAATTGCCGTACGTTTAATAAAGATCTAAGCTATACATTTCTGAGTGAAACACTTGGTTTCCATTTTCACAAATTAACCGTTCCAACCCAACCTGGATTTGGCAGCCTTTGAAATTGAAAGGGAAAAAAAATAATAATGCTGGTTTAAAATAGTTTGCAAAGTTATTTTGAAGGAACATTCTGCACTTCCTTGAAGAACAGAAGTAATAACAGCTGTCTGAAGAGTTCATCACAATTCGGATTTGCTGAAGCAAAACAAAATTAATTGACCTTCAGATCTTCAGTGCTTTTCAAGTTTGGCAACTTTTAAGATGGGTAGGTTTCAAGTTCCAGAATTCTCCTGACCAGCATGTTGGTTGGAGAAGTCTAGTTGAAATCCACCCATCTTAAAGTTGCCAAGTTTACAGATACAGATAATCAGAGTTGGCAGGGACCTTGTAGGTCATCTAGTCCAACCCCCCGCCCAAGCGGGAGACCCTACACCATTTCTGACAAATGGCAGTCCAGTCTCTTCTTGAAGGTCTCAAGTGATGAAGCTCCCACAACTTCCGAGGGCAACTTCTGTTCCTTGGGTTGATTGTTCTCACTGTCAGAAAATTCCTCCTTATTTCCAGGTTAAATCTCTCCTGGTTCAGTTTCCATCCATTATTCCTTGTCTGGCCTACAGGAGCTATCTGCTCAAAGATAGATGCAAAAATAAATAAATACATAAAATAAAATAGCTGGATTTCATAAGGACTAAGCCAAGGATTCAGTGGCATGCAAAGCAAACGGATATGTGCTGAAAATAGACTGGTTCCCCAAATGAGGCGTATTGAGTACAACCTGTCTCCAAGCGGTGGCGTTGGGTGAAATGAATGTTGGCTAGGAAGTTCTGGGAATTTGAAGTCTTAAAGCCTGCTGGAAGGAGTGATGCGGTGGCCTAGAGATGAAGCTCTCACCTCACAATCGGAAGGATGTGAGTTTGATCCTAGGTAGAGGTAGATCTGGGCACTCTGAGAATACAGTATATCTGCAGAACAAAACTCCACACTGGTGACAGGAAAGGCATCTGGCCAGTAAAACACACCGCTAGCTCCATTCAATTGCCCCGACTCCACCCTGCAAGAGATTATGGGCTCGTTAAATGAAGGTGATGAATTGTCATTTGAAGGGAGTTTCTTGCCAAGCCGGGCAGCTCTTCCAATTCTCATATTAGACAAACCTTGTAAATTTTGCTGCCAAAGTTACCTGGCTTCCTTCCCAGCATACAGGTGTTGAGTCAGTAGCTGAGATCTCATTCTTTACTCTGTTCTTCCTGGAAAGCAACATCAGCTTTAGAAGCGCTGAAATAAAGGAGTTGACAGGTGGGAATATAACATACAAATATGTGTTTGATAAGGGTGGGAATAGTGGTAGTTTCAGAATCGTAGAATTGGAAGTGATGTCAAGATTGCAGAACGGGGAAAAGTGATTTCAGAATTGGAAAAAAAATTTTGGTTTCAGGTTGCAAATTAGGGGAAAAGTATATTTCAAGATTGCAGAACGGGGAAACGTGATTTCAGAATTGGAAAAAAAATGTGATTTCAGGTTGCAAATTAGGGGAAAAGTATATTTCA